ATGTTGCGTGTTACCAGAAAGCTGAAGGGGAAAGAATGCCCTTAATTTTACTTGCTGTCTCTATTTTTTTAGAAGACTTTATAGCAAGTTGAACTCATCCAAACATGAATATGGAGGCTGCTCTTTGTAAGAAAGATGATGTTACTGACCTCTGATCAAAAGTAGTGACGATGAGTTTTAGATGATCCAACTTATACTTGTAAATGTTTTCTCATATTACCAAAGATGCACATGGCTGAGTCCTAACTCAAACAAGGTTCCAGTTGATCTAGGGCCCAGAAATGGAGACAGGAACTGGGAGCCTAACCAATAAATGGGACTTAAGGTGACAGATATTACCAATATATTACAAGCACGGTGTAGATGGAGCTGGTTGAGAGCATATCACAGGTCAGTCTCAGAAAACAAATACAGCCAATTGAAGATAGCAAGAAACAAAACTAGAGCATATAGCACATATCAGTTCAGAGATTTATGAAGATGACTGTTATTTTATGGCTTAAAGATTCAGAATTCAGTTTCTGAAACATCCTAGCTGCTATTAGATCCTCCCTACCTTTCAAAGGGATGGACCCAAAGCTGAAATCTGTCAGAAAAACAAAACTGACAATCTATATAACAGTGAGCTGCGAAACAGAGTGAAATTGGCTGATGTGGGACAGAGCAGCTCACTGTAGCGCAAACTCCCGGCTTCATTAGCACAGTGTGCCAAACACCTGAACACCTTCTCTGGAACCCAGTTCATCCACAATTATTAGGATTATTCAGAAAATAAGATTACAAAGTGAGCTAGTGAGGGCTATTTTGATTACATGTGATAAAAACTCAATCCAAAATAGTTTAGGCAAAAAAAAAAAAAAGTATACTGAGGTGTCTCATGGAACTTAAGCCAGGAATATTTGGACATCATTAACAATTCAAAATAAAGACACATTTTCCATCAGGACTCATTCTCCTGTGTCTGCTCTTCTCTGTGCTCTTGCTTTGTTCTTCTCTCTCAGTATAGACCAGCACAGAGAAAAGCATGGCAACATCAGCCCCAGAGTTGTAGCTCTTCAAGCTCCAGCCCTCAGAGACTGACTTGTTGCTTTCTCTGATCTCTATTAAAACATGTGGACTAGTACTATGAGAGGCTGGGGTGGGTAGATCATTAAAGCTCAGGAGTTTGAGACCCCAACCTAATCAAGAGTGAGACCCTGTCTCTACTAAAAAAAAAAAAAAAAAAAAAAAAAGAGAATCAAGTATGTTAAATTTATAAAGGGAGCTTGGGGATATTAATCTGTTAAATATGGCTTGATTAATTAAAAAACAAATGAAAGTTAGCTTAGTGTTTTGATATAAAAATTATTCTATTATAAATAATGTAGCAAATTCAGCTTAAAATTAAAAGAATTAAGTAAAACTTTGATTTTACATTTATAATGTTAATACATTAAATTAAATATCTGTTTAAAACCCAAGGAATGGTAAATAATAGTTTTTGTGTATAAAACTCCTCCTCCTCCTCCTCCTCCTCCTCTGGCATTAATAAAAAAACTTATGTCTGGGTGTGGTGGCTCACACCTATAATCCTAGCACTCTGGGAGGCTGAGGCCACAGGATCCTTTGAGCAGAGGAGTTTGAGACCAGCCTGAGCAAGAGCAAGACCACGTCACTACTAAAAAAAATAGAAAGAAATTGGCTGGACAACTAAAAACATATATAAAAAACTAGCCGGGCACGGTGGCACATGCCTGTAGTCCCAGCTACTC